ACATTAGCTTTTACAGCCGGCGCACCATTTCTCAGAATTTTGATATGTTGTTTTCCAGACCTAGAAAAATCTTTGTCTTAAGAAATTATGGATAAATATCATGAAATGTTATATCACTTTTCACAAATCTATGGTATTCACTATCATATAACTCGCTTTGTCCCACAGCGCTCCTCCATGAGAACGGGGCGCATCTTTTGGAATTCTAGGGTGACCAAGGACGGTCCCACCTTTCTCGCCTCTGATTGGCTAGATGGGCTCTACTACGATTGGCTATTTCATTTAGCAGCAAACCAATACAAACAAGTATTAAGTTCTAGAAATGTATGAAATGTATGTAGCCTGCTAGTTTATCTCAAATTCTAATAACTACCGTATTTTCCGGACTATAAGTCGCACTTTTTTCAGTATGGCCGGCCCTGCGACTTATACTCCGGAGCGACTTATATACAAAATTATGTAGGCTATACCGCTCTACTGCTGCGGGACGGCTCCGGACCAGGAATGAGCTCCCCTGCCCCACTGGGAATAAAAAACGCACAGCCATCACCTGCTGGAGCCTGTGGTGCACCGTTACGCGCCTGATCCGGCCCAGGAGTGAACTCCTCTGACCCGCAGGGGAACTAAAAGCACAAAGCCATCACCTGCTGGAGACTGTGGCGTGCAGCTGTGGGCTGGATCCGACCCAGGTTTCAGCTCACCTGCCCCGCAGGGAATAAAAACACACAGCCATCACCTGCCGTAGCCTGTTGCGCACTGGATCCAGCACAGGTTTCAGCTTCTCTGCCCCGCCATCACCTGCTGCAGCCTGCTGCGCGCCGGCTCCGACCTAGGAATGAGCTCCCCTGTCCCGCTGGGAGGGTTTCAAACACCGCCATCCTCTGCTGGAGACCGTGGCGCGCTGCTGCACCCGCGTTGTTTATTCTGTTATTGTTACCGGTACTTGTCTTGCAATGTGAAATGCTTGGTCTCAGATTTTGTAAGAAAAGTAATCAAATTTCCCCCCAAAATGTGACTTATAGTCCAGTGTGACTTATATATGTTTTTTTCTTCTTCATTATACATTTTATGGCTGGTGCGACTTATACTTATAGACTTATAGTCCGGAAAATACGGTACGTTCAAAATATTGAAAACTTTCTCAAAGCAAAATATATTTTCATTAAGGAAATAACTTATAAACTTACCGATTTAATACTTTTTTATTCACAGAAAGATAGTTTTCATGAAAAAGTGCTGCAAACCTCCACATAAACTCTGTGTGAGCTTCAGGTCACTGGTGTTCCACAGAGTTAGCTCCGGTTGTAGCTACGTAGCTACCTCCATTAGCTTAGCTCCCACCTTCGCGTTAGCTTCAGGCTAGCTTGTAGCTAGTTCGACTGGGTGTTGTCATTTGATCTCAGCCTTAAAGCCCCACCCTCAGCCCCACCTCTCTTCCCTTTTGTGGAATTGTCTGGGCTTGACGGAACCTGTGACATGGTCAAAATGGCGGTGGTGGCCACCTCCCATTTTTCCTCAAAAACGTGTTATTGGAGCCTGCGGAAACCCATTGTCAATGGTATCAGCTGATGGAGGGCTCAAGGTTCGCTGCGCCGTTCTTGTCAGCGGACATGGTAGGGTCGGAGAGGGGGGCGGGGCATGACGCTTAGCCTGGTGGGTGGGCAAGCAAAGCCTGGCGGGCCGCCAGGCTTATAAAGCGCTGGGGGAAACCCTGGTTAGTTACATTGCTAGCATAAATGGTCACAGAGTTATGGTAATTTAAACTATAAAACTAAACACAACTGGTAAAGTCTCAACCAATACAGTAGGCATGCAAGTAAAAAATACATAAAGTCAAGGTCTGTGGAGAAAGAGCAAGCTCTCTATAATAAAATGTATTTTATATTAACCATCAGCTGCTCTGTTTTCTAGAATACATTTAGCATCAGCTATAGGGAGACACAAATCAGTTGATGGCGACTGTGTTTTTAGTTTTTGGTTGGTTGATAAATGTTCAGCACATCCTGTTTTCTAATTTCCTGTATAATGTTTCACCTAATTCACGCGGGATTCTACTTCTGAAATCATTTTTACAGCCTCTCAAGAAGAAGAAAAATACTTTCTGACTCCAGAGATCCTCCTCCTGACACCAGGAATACGGATGCTTTCCTCCTATCTTCTCATTCAGACTCCATTGAGCTTAACCCTCTACCTCTTTCTCTCTAACCTCCCTTTCCCTTCTCCAATTTTTCCCCTCCTTTCTTTGCCCTGTTTGATGTATGTTGTTGACACTGAGGCATCAGGAATAATGGAATCTCTTGTCAGTGGCTTGTATTTTCTGCCCAGGCTGTTAGGGCTGTGTATAATAGTAGCAGAGGAGGAGGAAGAGGGGAGGTTATGTGCCACTGATAGTAATGAAGGTTGCCTTTTCATTTTTTAATATGGAATGTTTGTGGGCCGAGGCGATGCTCTCCGCTAATCCTACCCTCGAGCAGAGCTAGCTACATGGCCGCATCAGTGTTACACACACACACACACACACACACACACACACACACACACACACACACACACACGCTTACACACAGTGACATTCAGACAGACTGATAAAAGACAAACACACAATGCAGACACACTCGCACACCATCCTTTAGGCAAGACAGAAAACTGTTTGATAAGTCAGCGTGTTTCTGCTCCTCATGAAAATTTCACTCCTCCCGTGTTTGTGTCTTAAGGAAATGCAGCCGGCTGCTGTTAGAGATGATATGGTGTTTGTTTAATATTTGATGCATACGAAAGCTTGAGTGACTGGATGCATTTGTCAGCCTTTATCAGGAAAGAGTGTAATGGAACAGGCAGTTTCAGAAAATTACATCAGGTTGAGACGCCATCGTGTGCCTCTGTGGCAGGATAAATACCCCGATGTGTTCAGGGAAAAAGGAAAATGTAGAATCACTATTATTTAGGCAAAAAAATGACATAAGGTAAAACATGTAGCGGATTTTTAGCCTGAGAAACTCAACCTATGAGATTTTTTTTCTATTGGTTTAATTCAGTTGTCATTCCAAGTGTGTGTGTGTGTGTGTGTGTGTGTGTGTGTGTTTGCTGCAATGAGTGTGCTGTGTGTCTAATTGCTTTAATAGCACCTGGTCTGTAATCCCAGGTAATTAGAGCGCTCAAATTAGACAGCTACTTTCAACCGTCACTTGAAAAAAGCAGGAGGAGGAGGAGGCCTGGAGGAAGACCACTCCACACTAAAAGTCTCATTTTACTGACAAACACTTTATCAGTGGGAGAGAAACAGAATGTAGATGTAGCTGAGTCGACCAACAGGAGCTTCATCCTCCAGGATGAATGTTGTTATTACGTTTATTTGATTTGAAGATGTAGCAGCGTTACAGTAGCTCAATATTGGCATTCTCCATTTTTACTGATTTAACCTCCATTTCTCGAGCGGCACAAACATTTTTGCCGAAGCCTCCTGAAACGTGTCTGAAGAAGCTGTGGGGAAAGGTTAAGGCCCTCTTTTAAAGATGAGCCGAAAATGTCAAGTGTCTGCCCCTCTGGCTCCCGCTACTGTCTCCCTGCTCCGAGACTGCCACTGGAGCCGCATGACTCGCACACACACTCCGGCACAAAGGTTAGGGATTGCTATTAGAGATGTCCCCCGTCTCTTTTCATTTGTTTTGGCTCTTGTGGCATCTCAACTGGCTTCTGGCTGGAGGTCAAAGGTTAAACTGTAACAACAGCTCGACTTCAGCTAGTTGGCTGAAATAGTAATTTTAGCCACTGGTTTAATTTTTGGTACTCAAATTTAAAATTTTCAGCAGCAAAATCTGACCTGATGAATCTATTGGCTGCAAGTAATTTTAGTGAAATAAATCACTGTGGGAGCTCAGAAAAGAGTAAGTTTTCCCCTAAAACTCATCCAAACCATCATCGGTTCTCATTTAATCATAAAAAAATATTTTTAAAATTTAACGTAGCAGAGCATAGACCGCAGTTAATCTAAGATTTAAATATCAGCCTAAATCTTGCCTTTACTTGTCTGGATTTGCTGTTCATGTAGTAACATAAAGGTGCCAGCAGAGGGGATCGGTCACAACAGTTTTTACTGGTGAACTGAGGATTAGTGAGCAGCAGGCCTCAACTGTGTGGTTTAAAACCAGGTTACCTCACTCTGGTTGACAGGTTCACATGTTCCATTCACCTGCTACAGTTTCATTAAAGGCTCGCCTCATTAATATCTTTCATTTTTAATGATAAAAATATTGTTGAAAGAAGACTTTTAAAGCAAAGTGTACAGAAAAAATATGAAACATTAATTAAATTTCCTATATGTGGTATATGATTTGTTGGTTGTGTTGTTACTTTTGCTGCAAAGGGAATATCAAATGTTAGTAGCTTTGTCTCTTGTTTCAATTCTGAGCTTTTTTGATCACTAACCTTTAATGGATTTAATGTGAGTCTTTATTTTTCTTATTTGTCTTCTTCCTTCAAACTGATCTGAGCCCGTGTCTGTCCCTCCATAACTAGATTTGTGAACGTCCAGCTGAACAATCAGAATAGCATTAGTTCTGGCGGATATCAGAAGAAGACTGGTGTCTGCACAACACTGAGGATTTGTAGGATTTAGGGTCTCCTAATGGTGAATACTCTCAGCACAGATAAGGCTTCAAAGGCGGAGCTAATTAATACGATGTTTACATTATTCACGGTCATACGCTGCATTTTCAATGACCCTTCAGCGTGGTGTGTGTGTATGTCCACATTCTTGCATGTGAAGGCTCATTATATGCCAGCGTGGTGTGCTAATTGAATCAGCAGTGGTAGCTGAGTAAAACATTTAGTTGAGAAATGAATAATTAAAGAGGTTAGATATCAGAATATGCTGCAGTTCTGGTATAAATCAAACATGTGCTGTAATAAATGTGATTGTTAGATCAGTCCTCCACAATTAGTGTTGTGTTTTAATCATTCTTTTAAATTTGTCGGCTCTTTTTCCTCCTCTCTGGTTTCAGCCTAGTCCCGCCCCGAGTCCGGTTCTAGGAGGGAAACCCAATGCCAGCCAATCCCTACTGGTTTGGTGTCGAGAGGTCACCAAGAACTACCGCGGGGTGAAGATCACCAACTTCACCACCTCCTGGAGGAATGGGCTGGCCTTCTGTGCCATTCTGAACCATTTCAGACAGGACATAATGTATGTCTCTCTCTCTCTCTCTCTCTCTCTCTCTCTCTCTCTCTCTCTCTCTCTCTCTCTCTCTCTCTCCTCTCTCTCTCTCTCTCTCTCTCTCTCTCTTTCTCTCTCTCTCTCTCTCTCTCTCTCTCTCTCTCTCTCTCTCTCTCTCTTACTCACTCGCTCACTCACACACACACACACACGGACAATGCTACATTTTTATAATGTAAAATATAAAATTAACAGTCAAAGTCCCATAGTCATCATGAAACACTGGTGAAATTCATCTCCGCATTTGACCCAGCCCCGTGGAGAGTGGTGAGTTGCAGCTGTGGCTGCGCTCGGGAACTATTTGGTGGTTTAACCCCAATCCAACCCCTGAGTGCCAAGTGAGGAGGCATTGGGTCCAAGTGAGGAGGCATTGGGTCCAAGTGAGGAGGCATTGGGTCCAAGTGAGGAGGCATTGGGTCCAAGTGAGGAGGCATTGGGTCCCCCAGATTTTTTTTCCCTGATCGCACCTGAAGCAGAACTTAGTGACATTTCTGGTAACGCTTAGCTATTTTCTGTATAACTTTGTCATCGATATTCCCTTCAGATTAGCAAAAACACCCAGCCTCCGCTCCAGACTCTTTCTAGACCTTAGGAAAGGGAATGATGTGCGCATGTCTCTGTAGCATGATCACGTTACATCCACTGACCACTCACAAACCTTTATCGGTGGATCTCTCCCTTTCACAAAACCAGTTTTGACAGCAAAATTAATTCATATACAGCAAACCATATCCAAACGGGATAGTGCTGCTAACTCTCATGCATTCAGTGTAAGACACACACATTTGACTGTCTTCACGTGTTCTCATGAAACACCTCGAATTTCTCACGCTGGAAATTAATAACAGTTGATCTATCTGAGCTAAACGTTGCATAGCTCTACTGTACTGCGTAATTATTGTGCAGTAAGTGGAAGTCCACTACAACGTAGATGTTTATATTTTCTCTTTAGCTTTATATTCATAATAGTTGGACTGTATATGTCTTACGTTATTTATCAATATTTGCTTTTTTTTTCAAGACAAAGATTAACTTTATTTAAGAAATTTGTCAAAAAAATTTGAAATTTTTAGAAAATGTCTGAAATCCTAAAAAAAACAATGTTTAAAAGCCTCTGTTAATGTCCAATAGATTTGTCTAAGCTAATTAAAGATTGTGTTAAATAATCAAGATTTCCACTTCAGTCAAAATGATCATGATTATCATTTTTGCCATAATTGTGCAGCCCTGCTGCAGCCTGCACTAAAGTCTCCTACCTATATCTTGTTCTTGACCCCTGGATGCAGCTGAAATTTAAAATTTGCTGCTGCTGCTGTCATTTGCTCCTGTAAATTAGCATGTGCCGTTAAAGTGGCAGAGGTGCAGAAGCTTGTGTTTGCATAAATCAGGAAACCTTGGAGCGGTGTTAAGTTGCTAGGCTTAGGCAAACTATCTGTCCTGGGGGGTGGTAAGTGTATTTTACCAAACTGAGGCTGTTCAGACAACTATCTACAGCAGTAGAAATTCGTTTTAACTTTTACACAGAGACACGCTCCCTTAAAATGGAAAACCTAAGCTGGTACTCAGTAGTTTTGTTATTCTGGTCTAAGGCACGTAGAAACATTTCTCTTATATAATATGTCGTCTTCCTCTTTATGTTTATTACTGATTGATGTAATCAAATGTTTGTTTTTTTCCAAATATGAATGAAACATAAAGACATATACATCAAAGGGCAAAAGGAGGATGAGTTGTTAAAGCCCTGCCCTGTGAACACATGTATATGTATGTGTTTATGCTTCTCGCTTCATTTAGTTTTTTCCCTTTCACACATTTTCCACTCCATTAGTTCTGTTGATTACTCGGCTCTGAAATTGCATGTTACAGTTCTAATACCATTACATGTGACGCATATTTAAACGTGTCCTCCTCGTGCACCCCCCACCCCCACTGTTCTTTCAGAGACTACAAATCACTCAATCCTCAGGATATTAAAGAAAACAACAAAAAGGTAAGAGGCAGCCACTGCTGGGCCCTTCTCACCACAAACCTCCTGCGTGTAGCCTTATGTAGAGACCGATCATTATTGTGTGTGTGTGTGTGTGTGTGTGTGTGTGTGTGTGTGTGTGTGTGTGTGTGTGTGTGTGTGTGTGTGTGTGTGAATCCGGTTTCACCTCATTACTTTACAGTTTCATATTTCGTGTGTCCATACCAAGAAAATGTGTGTTCACTGTATTTTTGTGATTGTGCCAGAAGGTTGAAGGAAGAAAGGCTCTATAGTTCTCACAAAAACTTTTCAAAATGAAAAAGTCATAGTTTCCTTCTAATAATTTTTACTAGCACCAATTAGGTATTTAGCTATATTAGGTTTGGTATTTTTGATATTCTTCCCTAAAAGCATTATAACTTGATACAAATTGCCGCATGTTGCCCACAGTCCTTTGCAGATGGATCAAGGGGCCGGTGTAGGACAGACTCTAGGTCAGGGGTCGGCAACCCGCGGCTCTTTCGTCCATCTGATAGGTCTCTCTGTGATTGTAAAATAATGAATGAATATTTAATTAAAATGTATCTTATTTTAATGCATTCATTTTTTTATCTGTATGCTAAATCTAAATTTAAAGATTGTCATCTTTTAAAATCTAAACCAAAATGATGAAGACCTGAAATGACAGGTCACCTGCTTGTGCGTTATCAAATGTCTCTATAGGCGCTTTCTGAGCTGAAGAGGACATGAGATTCTGGACTTTTGCTTCAGGCAGGCTCATGGATGCATCGCAGAATCACCACTTTGGAGACAGGAACCAGCGCTATTCAGCCAAAGTTTTATAATCAGGGAACATTTTCTAGGTGACACGTCTCTCTGAGGGTCTGGAAAATACTCGCTCCAGTGAGAGGAACATTCCTGCATGGTTCTGCTGCTACCTGTGACTGATGCGCTCCAAACTACCTCTTCAGCTCATCCACCTTATGTGTGCGCTGACAGCGAGCTGCTCTGAGCAGTGTCCAATGATGCTCAGATGTTCTGATGAGAATCTTTTCTTGATTGATGTAGCTACCTTCGTGATGTGCGTGACGATTAAAATGTCAGCGCATCTGCAGCCTTGAGATTTCTCCGTCAAAATAAACGGTCAAATACGGGAAATATCCGGTCAATGTGAACCCGGCCATTTAACTGTTTTGTTTCTTTTGAAGATTGTTGCAAAGAGAAACAATTAAATTTGATTAACTCCAGAGCCATGCACACTGCATCGTTATCTATCTTAGATGAGGGAAGAAAAACAAATTGATCGAATCCTTTTCTTATCTTTTCAACATTGTTTAACTCATTCACTGCCATTGACGACTAAAGTCGTCACTTTAGATCCAACCATTCACTGCCACTGATGACTTAAGTCCTCATTTGCATTTTTGTACTGTTTGAGCATTGGAACGAGCCCCCGCGCTGAGAGAACAAACATCTCAGCCCTGAAGCCAATCTTCATCTGCATACATCACACGTCATGTGATCAGGAAGTAGAACATCCATGTGTTAGGAGATCATTTTGGGCCATGCCTGTAAAAAGGTGAGGCGTGAACCGGAAAAGCGTCTGCCAATCATAATTCGACAACGGATTATGAAAGAACGGATAACGCTCGAAACACGCGGATGCTTCCTGATGTAAGAGGTGAGTCTCCTCTTTGTTTTGGTTGTTTTGGTGTCGACATCATCCTAGCATGCAACGTTCTGTGACTCTTAAAAAAACAGTAAAAACTGTGAGAAACGCTGGCAGCGAAGGCCTTTAACGATCAGGAAACGGCTGGCAGTGAATGAGTTAATGTAAAGTTTCATTCAGTACAAAGTTTAATTACAACAATCCAACGAGACAGAGCCTGGATTTGTATTCTGAACAGTTTAAACATGTTTTAAAAGGAGACACGTGTACAAGTCAAAAAGCGGCACCTGCTCAGGCCCGAATACTGTGGCTCCCAGCGTTTTTTTTACTGTGGGAAACGGGTAATAATGGCTCTTTGATGGGAAAAGGTTGCCAACCCCTGGTCTACGTAATATGGATCTATCTTTGTCATCTGCCTTTTTCAGGGAGATCATTACACTATCTGTTATTTGTGATTTTAGGATTGCTTTTGTTGTAATTCACATGATTTGCTTTGTGTGTGTGTGTGTGTTTGTGTGTGTGTGTGCGTGCGTGCGTGCGTGCGTGCGTGCGTGTGTGTGTGTGTGTGTGTGTGTGTGTGTGCGTGTGAGTGAGAGTAAGAGGCTACTGTATAGGATGTGTTTACTGGACTCTGCTACCATATTGTTAGTTAGAAATCACATCCCACCGATCCTGACTCTTCCTCAAACCTCATCCTAAAGATCTCATTCTGTTCATAAAGAAAATGCACACACACCCCTTTCTCTGCTCGCCCTGCGTCATCACATCTGCACATTCTCTCTTTAAGTTGCACCTATTCACACGACTCACCCTATTCTCTTTGTCCCTCTGTCTCTGTACATTTACTTCATTTAGCATATGGATGCATGCTCCAGTTTTGTCCCCACTGCACACACACAGTCACACACCTATACATGTACGGCACACAAACTCTTGGGCCCCGAGGGTTACACAGGACAATATGCGTGAGGCTCCTGCAGCTTGATTTCCTCTCCTCAAACACTCTCTGGCTAAGCGATAACCTCTGGTGGCCCTGTTAGGCATGAATGCTACCCTGTTGACAATAACCACAGTGGAGGGAGAGGCAGAGACCCAATCCCATATCTGCTAACTGCCCTCACCCCCTCCAGGTGCTCAAGTAGCCCTGAAGAAATTGGTTAGATATAAGTAATATGGGGAATATGCCGTACAAGGTGATAGCTTGCCAATAGCTGTACTGGCTTTGCTGCAACCAGCTTCTCCTGAGAGATGGACCCCAAGTGTTGCTCGTTTCTTTTCTGCACACAGGCTCCTCTGTGTGCTTCTGCAGCTCCCAAGAGTGCACAGAATATGCTATAAGTTACATAGCTGTACTTGACAAATGCCAAACCAGGTTGTCCTGTAGGTCTAGGTTGTGTTCAATCTGATTAAAAACTGACTTTTTATTTAAAATCTTTTTTATTTAATTTTTTTTTACATTTTTATTTATAATTATTTTCTAAAATTAATTTATACATACATAATCCCCCAAGTCAAGACAAGAAAGTAATAATAAAAATAAATAAAAATCAAATAAACAACAATAAATACACAGCACACACCGGGGCAAAAAACATAATTACATTATATTGTTATCACTCTGTCAGGTTAAAACCTCCATTTCTTAGGCGTCAGTTATGACTTTAAATGTTCTATAATTGGTCTCCAAATGTTATAAAACTGGCATTGGGAGCCTGTCACTTCATATTTCAATTTTTTAATATGAAGGATCCCTATTAGCTCCCTCAAACAGGTTTCGAAACTCGGAGGGGAGACCGATTTCCATGATTTAAGAATACACCTTTTAGCTATAAACATTCTATAGGCTAATGCAGTACAAGTATTATGTTCCGTATTTTCCAACCTGCCAGAGAAACCAAACAGAGCTATTTCTGGGCCAGGGTCAAGATTTACTTTCAATGCAGTGGAGTACCATTTAAATATTGAACTCCAGAAATATTTCAATGTTGAGCACAACCAAAAATGATGTGCTAGAGTACAGGGAATGGCCTTACATCTGTCACAGGCAGGAAGTGTTTGTGGAAAAAAATTATTTAACTTAACCTTTGAACAATGTACCCTGTGTATGATTTTAAATTGCACCAATTGAAGTCTAGCATTGACAGAACATTTATGAATATCTTTCAGAGCCCGTTTCCAATTCTCTTCCTGTATTATAATACCAAGATCCTCCTCCCACTTCTACTTGGTTTTTGTGGCAGGCCAAAATATGTATTAGAAAATATTTTAACCAATGATGAGATTATGCCTTTGGCATCAGGAGAACCTAGCAAAATTCTATATATATTAGTTTCTATGGGCAGCAACTCAAACAAAGGAAGATTTTGTCTAATATAATTTCTTACTTGCAAATATCGAAAGAAGTGACCCTTAGATAATGCATATTTCTGGTGTAATTGTTCAAACGAGCAGAGGCGATCTTTAATGTAAAGGTCTTTTACAGAGGTCATTCCCTTTTGACTCCACTCTCTAAAAGCAACATCAGTAAATGATGGAGCAAAAGCATGATTACGCCATATTGGAGCATTTACTGAAGTATTTGGAATTCCACAGGATTTACGGATCTGCAGCCAAATCCTTTCCGAATTTAACAGGGTAAAATGTTCGCCTCTGCGTGAGGGTACCAATCTCGGAGTTGAAAAAAGAAGTGCCTGGAGGAAAGTTTTCTGTGTAAGACTCTGTTCGATTGTCAGCCACAAAGGCATGTTTTCCGGAGTGCCAAATCCTTGCGATAATTGCCAATAAACCATCATCCTAACATTGGCTGCTCAGTAATAGTGTAAAAAACAAGGTAAATTTAAACCACCATGTCTTTCGCTTTCTGTAGATGTTGTTTAGAGATTCTATGCACTTTAAATCCCCAAATAAAAGATAAAATGATTGAGTCGATTTGCTTGAAAAAAGATTTTGGAATATAAATTGGAATATTCTGGAACAAATAAAGAAATTTTGGCAACGAAACCATTTTAATTGCATTCACCTGACCTATCATTTACAAGGGCAATGTTCTCCATTTTTCTATGTCTTTTTTTAAAGCCTCTAATCTCTCAAGAAAATTATATTTGAAAAGTAATTTAGGATTTGTTGTTAATTTTATGCCTACATATTTAACTGTTTTTGAGGAAGTATTAAATTGCGTGGTAGACACAAACTCAGATTCCAACTCTGCACTGAGGATACTAAGTCACTTTTTCCCCAGTTAATGATATACCCAGACTCCGCACTAAAACTATTTATTACATCTAGAACCTGTGGAACAGACTGTTCAGGATCAGTTACAAAAATGGCTATGTCATCGGCGTAAAGAGACATTTTA